CTCATAGTTAATAGTTATTTATCTCGATCTGTTTCGAATTATTTTGAATATTTACGTAAAATTGCGTAATTTCTTGCGTAATATTGTGTAATAATCTTACGTAATATTTCATAATTGTATATTTTGCAATATTGCAAAAGTTTTTACGTAATATTACGGTTTTCTTACGCTTCGTAAATTATTATGCAATATTACGCCCTATTAAATTTGCTGATGCTGTAGTTTGGGTTGCAGATATGGCAGATAGTGTAGAACCTTCAGGCGAACTACTTAAATTAGGTACCAAAAGTACACATGTAGCTTGATGTACTTTCATTGTAATAGAAACAATAATTTTTAATAAATACAAACACCAACATGGCCAATGAAATCACCATTCAAAAAAAATAAAAAAAAATTAGATTTTTAAATTATTAAAAAGAAATATTATTTTGTAGTTTAAAAATAAAAAAAGTAACAAAAACTCTTTCTGGTTCACTTCTAAAAATCATTTTTAGTAGTAAATATAAACAAACTTTCATCAAAAGTTTTAAGTATTAGATTTGTTAAGTACTATAGTTCCTTGGAGCAAGCAGTTCTATCTGGTATATAATAATTAACCACATAGGCAAGATACAATAATACCACAGTAGTCAAAAAATCTAAATTTTCTCTATCCAAGCTCTTTTAAAGCTACACAACATGTTACAACAAAAAACATACTTTCAATTCTTTTTTGAAAATTATTTAGAGTAGCAGTATCAGATAAAACTACAACAAACCTAGAAGCATCTGCTGAATTTTTTAGACAAATTACTTTGACCTTATCTAGCAAAAACTCCAACAACTTTAAAAATCACTAGCAACACCACCAACACACTTATACAAAAACCAAAAAGTGGGCAAATCAGCCCACTCTGTTTGTAGATTACAAGCAGTTATATTATACTAACATAACATCATCATCTCTCTCTAGCAATACAACAAACTTGGAACAGTTGGGCCCCAACACTAATAGCCTGAAACAAATAAAATATTTCTACAACTAGAACAAAACAAACAAAATCAGCTAGACCCAATTCACTCCTAGGCTCCTGAACTACAAGAAATGAATACAAACCCCAACCCATAGCATACACTAATTTGAATATTTACCAGTTACCAACTTAAACAACTGGCCAACTCCAGCAGGTTTCTAATATACTGCCAAGCGACCTACAGACCTACTGCACTCAAACCTGATCTTTAACTAGTGACCTTAACTCTTTGGAACCAGAAAATAGTATACACACTTGCCCAAAGAACAGAATCATTTGACATTTAGCAATAAAATAACAATAAAATCCTAGAAGTATTTAGTGATGAGATACAGGGTTGGCATGAATGGAATTTGGACAACAGAAATCTGTCTGAAAAAATAGTGTCCAAATTGTCTAATCAAAAGCAATAAACATTAAACCAGATATATAGATAGTAATTAACCAATCAAATCATACATTAAATAGATTAAAATATAATTTATTAAACTTAAAATTTATATAATACATACTAGATATGATTTATTAAACAAAAGAAAGTAGAGACGAACTAGGAATTTTTTTCCCTTTATAGCATTAGCACTCAAATAAAAACTTTTCTTGTGTAAAAATTATAAAGAATACAGAACTTCCTGTAAAATTTAGGCTTAATAAAGCTTCAGATGCAAAGTTTTTTTTTACTTTTTTTATACATTTAAAAACCAAAACTTATTTAAATTTTATGATTTTTTTCTTCTCTATATAACCATGTTTTTCTTTGTATTATTGTTATTCAAAAAGCTTATTATTCTAAATAGACATATATATATATATACATACATTTATATATACATGTTGTTAAACAAATTTGCTATATATCACTGTCACTAATGTTTCTATATAATTCAAATATATATTATTTAAATAAAAAGATAAATTAGATAAAAACAAATCATGTAATTTCTATTTTGCAGCTTGATTTTCAGCAGGATGCATTTCTAAATTAAAAAAATTAATATCAGCAATATCAAGATTATCTTGTTCTTCTTTAAACTCTTCATTAATTAATAATTCTTCCTACTCATTAATAGCAACATTCTAATTAATTTCTGAGGTAATTTCTTCATTTATATCATCTGTATTAGTCTCTTCAAATTCTAGATCCTGATTAGATAGTGAAAAACTAGCAGAAACTAGAGCAGCAGAGGAAGATAAAGCAGAAAAAGAGTAATCTAATTGACTATAATTAGGTTTAATCTTTTTTTATGAGCTTATAAGATTTCAGCATGGAGTTGACTCATTGCAACAACTTTTGTATCCTATAATAAAAAAATTTTAATATATTAAAATTTATAATTTAAAATAAATTTACTTTTAGTTTATTTCTTAACGGAAAATGCAAAAAGCCCATTGTTGAGAAAAGCTTTTCGACAGAAGCATATGCCAAATAATTGGCATGCAACATGACACAGTTCTAGTACAGCACCAGAATTATAAGACCACCAAAGAACTAATCTTCTTTAAAATAGTTAAAGGTTTTTTCAGTAAAAGGATACTTTTGCTATTTATAAAGTTCAAGTTCGTGAAGCAAACAATCTGGCTTAGTATTAAACCAAACTTTATAATAATATGATAACCATGCTTCTATGTAAATAAAGTTAATATATTATGTTTGATTAAAATAATTCAATTTATATAGAGATAAAGAATAAAAGAAAGAATAAGCAATGGTTGTTCTCATGTGGCCCACCTTTTTTCAAGCCTTTTAATCATTCTTGTTTGAAATTGAGATTCTTCAAGTTTTTTAAATATTTGTATAAAAAACCAAAAGTATGTAAAACATTATGAAGACGAGCTTTATCATATTGCATAAGATCAAGAGCTCTACAAAAAGGACAAAGTAATTTATATAATATTGTAAGAGAATCCCAAAAAGAATCATAGTTAATAGCAATTTTGATTTCAGTTAGAAGTTTTAAATCATCATCTAAGGCCACATCATCTTTAGTAACAAGAGTCTAAAAAAAAAGAAAAAAATTCACAATAATTTTAAAATTAAAAATTTTAAAATTTAATTAAATAACTTACTTTTAATGGATATTTATTTTTAAAAACACTATCAAAATATTTGAAATGACTATTCCATCTTGTTATACTTGGAGTAACAAAATTAATATATTTTTTTAGGATACTTATTTGTTTATCACAAAGTTTAGCCATGAAATATACAGAATGATAAAAAAAGAAACAATATGAAGAGTATATTTGCTTGTATTTTTGAATACTGTAAACTCTTTAAATATATCTCTAATACAACAATTCACCTAGTATGCAAAACAAGAAATAAACACTTTATTAGATATTTTATGTCTTAAAAACAATGAGCAGCTACATAAGATCTAGCTGAATCAGTTACAAGACAATTAACTCTTATATTCAATTCTTTTGCTTAATTAAAAAATGCATAAATTCTATTAATTACTTTTTTTTGTCTTTGTTTTTCTATACTAATGTCTTTCACTTTCCAAATTAAAGTTTCTCCCAAAAATGTAATAAATACTATACTCATTAGCTCCTAATTAACAACATTACACCAACCATCAAAAGCAATCATGATACCAATCTTATCTTTACAAGCAAGATTCTTAATTGTTACTTGGACTTCATTAGTTGCACTTGTTAATATATAATTACTAAGTGATTTTCGATCTGGCAGTTTTAAATATAAAGAAATAAAGTAGAACATTTCTCTAACTTCAGGATTTTCAATTCACCAAAATGCAAATCTAGCTGAAACAGTTGTCCAAAGTACAAGATACTCAAATTTAGAAATTTTTGAAGCAGTAAGTGAACGACCAATATATTTGAATAATGTAGTTTGTTTTTTTAAAGTATTATTAAAAGCTAACAAATTAGAAGATGTTATTTTAGAAGTTGAATCATTTTCATCTTTATCATTTTCATCTGTATATGATATCATTACCTGTTTGTTTGGTGTTGAAAGTGTAGCAGAATTGAGAATGAGTTGTATTTGTTCAAGTAAATACTTGGTAGCAAAATAAGAACAGTCTCTAAGATAGTTGGCACAATAAAGTTTGGTATTTGTAATTTTCAAATTATCAACTTTTAGAACAAAATCTTTTTCTACTGCATCTATACAAGCTCAACAAAATACATTTTTGGTTACTTTTATTTGCCCATTTGTTAGAAATAATATAAAAATATTTACTAAGAGAGTGTGGTAGCTTGTTTCCTTTGCATTGTATAATTTGTATAAAACTAAAATACTAGATACAATCAATTAACAAAAGGTTTGGCAATTTAGCAAAAAAAAAAAAGATACAATAACTAACTTTATTAATAATAACTTCTTTTTATAATTTACAATTACTACAGAAAAGATTTTATTTTGCTCTATCTAATCTATTTCTAATTTCTTTAAAATTTTATTGCATTGGGGCTTGGGCTATATATAAGAAGTATTTTCATATAATTTTTTCTTTTTTTTTAGTTTTAAATATTAATCTTTCATATTATTTTGTGAATTAGAAGCTTTTTTTAAATTTATTTTAGATTTTCATGTGTATAGACTAAGCTTTTTCCACTTTTGGCATTATTGCTTTTGCCTTTTTTTAATTTCATTCTCAACTGTGAGCTTTAATTAATTTCCTTATTTTGCCTAGTGGCTCTACATAAGAAACTTAACATAAATATGAATTACATACTTACTATTACATCAAATATTAAGGTATATATTTACTTTTAAATAATAATCAAATTTCATTTTGTATCTCATATATAGAATAATTCAAGATAGGAATAAATTTTGAGGTATGTATTTACTTTTATTAATTTCTTCTTATCTATGCTTAGCAGATCACCAATAAGTCTTTTATTTAATAGTTGATCCTGATTTTATTTGTATTATATATCATTAATACTTTGACTAAAATTTTTTTTTCCGTCTGGGCCTTATAGTTAGCATATTATTGCTATAAAATATGTTTTTTTTTATTTATTTATTGGTATGATACTAATTTGATTAGTGCATATAAGTACTTGATTCCATCAATTATATAATTCTACTTTGATCTTCAAATTCAAATCGATATTTTTAATATTTGTACCTTACAGTTATAATTTTATTCAAGTAATTTGAAATCTAATTAGAGTGAGCTAGAATATGTAATATGTATATATGTATCATATGTAAACATATATTCAATAGTATACAAGTGAATATTTTCATGAAGCTTTTATTTTAATAAAAAAAAAATTGATATAGCAAATTTAATTTTGATCAATACTAAAAAATAAAAATAGATAAATTCTAAAATAAAGACAATAATTTCAGTCTACTTATTCAAAAATTTGCCACTATTAAATATAATTAAACAATGGAAACTTGTCCAAATTGTTTTATGAAAGATTATTGAATATAGTACAGTGCCAACTAAAGCTGCACCTTATCAGATACTAGATATTGCATAGGACAATTTGGAAATATCCAATGTTCAGTAAAAAATTACTGGATATTTCTATTGCCCAACTCTGAATGAGGCAAATATGACTGACTTTCTGAAACACAAGGCCAGCTTACAACCAATTAATACAATCTACCTACAGCAATTGACTCCAAGTTTAACTTTTACAACATAGCCTTCTTCAAGTCTTTTACCTATGACAAAGAGTCAACACCTTAACACCAACAGGAATTTGAAACACTATATAATTTGGCCTTAAAAAAATATAAAAGATATTATAAAACCTGCTTCATCAACAAACATAACAGAAATCAGATCATAGAAAAACTTAAGGAAAAAATTGTAATCAACTATATTACTGATATTGATTTCCTCAAAACCAACTTATATGACATCATCTGGAAAATCTTCTACTGCACCAACTTCGCCCATATTGATCTACCAACCAGCTTTGAAAATACAAGAAAAATTATCAGAAGTATACTATTAGACAGACTCCAACCTCTCTCTACATCAGTCAAGGAAATACAAAATGAAATATTAAAAATACTTCTTTTTAAGTTATCTATTCAAAATCAGAACCTAACAAAAGCCATTGTAGCGGCTTTTTGAAAAATTTACAAATTTGAGTCCCTTTCTGAGGAATATTCAAAACACAACACATCAAGCTGCCAGAGAACCTTTTAAACTCAATTTACTAGTTAAAGACCTATTCCTTATTACTAACCTCTTTGCATTACTATTCTTTTCAGAAACTTTTAAACCTCTATGAACTTGAAAAAAAACTACTATCTAAATTCTTCAATCTATCTGCACCTAAACTACCACTTCTATCAACACCTCAACAGCTACCTTATAACCTTAAACAATACTTTTCTTGTAACTCAAAAGACTTCAATGATCTTAAAAAGTTTGTTGAACTTCCTCATTCTCACTATGGCTTTAAACAACTTCCTAACAATTACATTATATAAAAACCACAACTACCTGTCAATTCAACTACAATCAAAACTGAATACCACTACATTTTCCAAATTCTTATTATCTCTCCCACCACTGATAAACCAAACTTACCTGATGACTACACCCAAATCTATTATCTAAATCTAACTATACCAATCACCTCCCTCAAACTACTTGTCGAGATTTCTTAAGACCTCTAAAAACACTATTTCTTTACCAAAATCTCTGCAAGTTGAATTAACATTCAATGCAAAACCAAACATAATGATAAACCCCTAATTCTTCAAAGCCTTGAAGAACTAAAACTACAATTAAACTATATTAACCCAACTTGATCAAACTAATCCCTATACAAGATAGAACTACTATTATAGAAACACTAGATAAAATTAAATCTTACTTCATAGTTAATACAATTCTAGAATATTTATTTAAACTTCCTGATCTACTTGACCCTGAATGGTTAATTTTTAAAAACTATAAACTCACTAATCCATACTGTAAATTTGCTAGCCTGCATACAAACCCAACCAAACTACATCGCAACCCAAACTTTAACTACAACCCCCACCCTTGTTTTAACTTAATAAGTAATTCTAATATTATAGCTAATAGCTTATCACCACCTAATCATATGGCTTCCTTGTCACAACAAAACCTCTCCTCCTAACACCTACTCTAAATATTCTTAATCACAATATACAGGGCATTAATCAAACATTGAAGTTATAGTTACTACTAGAACATTGTTACTTAAATAATATTGATATTGCATTCTTAACTGAAACAAAACTTGCTACAACTATTAATATCTCTGCTACATTTATGAATCCTCACTTTAAAATATATACTTCAAACTATAACCAAACCAATGCAAATATTTGTAAATCCTGCCAAGACACTGCAATAGCTCTTAAACCCACTCTCCAACTATATATCTACAACATCTACACTATATCAGGAATTGCTCTACTAATTGATCTATTCCTTTCTGCTAATAGAATATTCATTATCTCAATTTATCTACTATTACCCATCACTCCCTTACTAAGAACCTACCAATACCAAATCATATCTTGGATTAACGATAGACATTCTTATAATAAGAATCTCATTTTTGCTAAAGATTTAAACAACAACACCAACTAGTGATGTATACAGATACTGTCTATGCATATTTCCTGAACATGGACTTATTTGGACATTGTTCAATATCTGTATCCACCATGTGTCCAAACTTACAAATTGTTATTAGACATTGTCTGCAAATTAATATCAGACACCGAATATCTAGCAGACATTGTCTAATATCCAAGCATTTTAAAATATTGGTTTATTTAATAAATGTGAATTTTTATCATTATTATGCTCAAAATTAGAAGGCAATACTTAATTGAGTTTTTGGGCATAACTATCTAAATTGCCTATCTTAATAAAAAAGTAATTATGGTATTTAGGCAGCCAAAATTGGTCTTATATAGTGCCAAAATTATGCTAAATTTTTTTAAACGCAAGGTTTTATAAAAAATTTAGCAATACTGAAATGTTTGCTAAATATACTTTTTTTCAAAAATAATTTAGGCACAGATGGATGTTTTATAAGAGATTTAGGTTTAATAATTATTATAAAAACTATTTAGTTAATAAATAAAGATTATTTTGCAATAAATATCTTTTCTTTACTTTTTAAATATCATATTTATACATTTTTAATTTAACTACATATTCTATTCTTACCTTACCATAATCCTAACCCTACTCTAATTTCTAGTCTACAAAATAATCCTAAACTGTTATCATTTTACAAAGAAACTTATTACTCTTATTAAAAAATATAGACAATACTATTGCAATGTTAAAAAGTATTATAAAGATAGTAATAATAAAACAAAGCAATATAACAGCACCAAAGAAAATGAAAACATCAACATACAGTTGACTCCCTCTAAGTGTATGTCTTCTAAGTGCATTTTTTCTCTATATGCATAAAAATATTCTGGTCCCAAGTTAGAACTTATAAAATAAATGCATGTTCTATATTCTCTAAATGCAGGTTATTTTTTAAATTATAAAGTAACGGGAGGTATAATGGCGCACCTAAGAACAACTGATAATAAAATTTTCCAAGAGAGAGTTTATCACTTACAAAA